TAGGGTTGGAAATATCTGTTTCTTGTAATTTGGCCTGAAATGTATGTGCAATTTTATAACAAAATGTCCCTATGTTGAGTCAGTGTCCTTATGTTGGGCCATTTTTATTAATTTTTATCATAAAATAAGTGTCCCTATGTCAATTGTCTGCAGGTTGAGGTGTCTGCATGTGGGGGTCTCACTGTATTATTAGGAGAAACGTCACCTTTTCTTTTTCATCAGATAATTTCAACTGCGGTTGTTTTTTTCCCAAAATTTCTCAGATAAAGATAACAGACTTAATGCTACTTTTGATGAATTTATTATGTTGCGAACATTTTTTTGCGGACTGGCAAAAGAATTTCTGTGGACCAGCGCTGGTCCGCGGACCACGGGTAGGGTAACACCGCTCTATAGTCAGACACACAAGGTCAAAGGGTGTTTATGCTACTTCATCAATAGATGATGTACAGTACAATTTTTTATTGTTTGGCCATGACGTTTTCAGACTTCAGGAAGCCGGCTTGTCGTCGCCGGTGATCGACGCGGCGATTTCGGCGTTCGTCTACGAGATCGTGGTGCGGCACGGCGACCCGGCGCCTCGGTTGTGCAACAAGGACCCGTTCACCATCAAGTCAGCCGAATACCTGCTCACGCTGTTTCCCAACAGCAAATTTGTGTTCATGATCCGTGACCCGAGGGCCACTGTGCATTCCATTATTTCGCGCAAGGTCTGTATTTCTCGCTCAAATTTTTTTAAAAACATTTTTAAAAATGTTTTATGCTGTATAGTGCGATTTGCCTTTCCACCTGCTGCTGCTGCTGACTTGTTTTATGAAGATAATTTGGCTGCTTTCACTCGAAAATCAAGCTTGATTTCGTATATTCGAGTTTTTAATTCGAGATTTTGAGGTTATCCTCGATGAAGCAGACGTTTCTCATTTGGGATGATATTAAACATGAAATTATGAGAAATCTCTTATTTTTGGAACTTCTGCTTCATTATGACCGTTTGCCGTTCATTCCAGGTCTGAGTCAACCTCTGTGAAATAGTTTCTGATGGGAGGCTGTACTGTACTGTACTGTACAGTGGGCCCCATGATGCGGATATAATTGTTGCTTGAACTTTGTCCGTGTGTCGGATCACGATTGGGAGCAAATTTCATTGGTCCTCCTATGAATGAACAGTACACTTTATTTGCCGCTTTTCAGCATTCACAAGGTTCACTGAGGATTTCCACAACCAAACCAACTGAAATGTCTGTTGGAACCTCCATGTACAGTACAGTGAGACCCCAAGATGGTGCATCAAGAGTGTACCTAAGTCTAGTCTCATTTTCCCTGAGACTTATATCTTATAATTTTTAATGGGTGTTCCATGGCCAAAATACTCATCATAATTCCATGAAAAAGAAATTTGTCTCCCAGTTGAAACTGATTCCATCAATATCTTTCAACGCAATATGGACATTTGGAGCATTGAATACTGATACCTCATCTGTACAGTACTTGGAAATGTTGGCATTCTCTGTAAAAATAACATTCAAAGGAAAAAGAGAGAAGGAAGTACCTCTATGCTGGAGGTCATGTGTTTAAATCTGCTAAATGAATCGAAAATTGGTGAGTGAAATGCCCAAGAACTTTTCTTATGTCAATTTTAGCATGTACATTTGGAAATATTGTATCTGTTTCTTGTAATTTGGCCTGAAATGTATTTGCTATTTTATCACAAAATGTCCCTATGTTGAGTCAGTGTCCTCAAGTTGGGTCTTTTTTTATTAATTTTTATGGGAAAATAAGTGCCCCTATGTTGAATTGTCCTCAGGTTGAGGTGTCCATGTGTGTGGGTCTCACTGTATTTTGAAAGTTTCCTAGAGATTTTTATTCTGTTTTCTGACAATTGCAGAACACTGGACACCCATAAATGACTTCTTTAATGTTGCATAATTTACAAACCTTAATTTTTGTTGTTGGCACGTTTAAAAATTTCATTTTTTCCTCAGGTAACAATCACGGGGTTCGACTTGACGAATTTCAAGCAGTGCTTGGAGAAGTGGAACGCGGCGGTGAAGACGATGAATGCGCAGTGCGACGCCCTGGGGCCGAAGAAGTGCTTGAAGGTGCATTACGAGCAGCTGGTGTTGCATCCGCATCAGCAGCTTCAGAAGACGCTGGCATTCCTGGACATTCCCTGGCACGACAGTGTCATGCATCACGAGAAGCTCATCAACAAACCCGGTGGGGTTTCTTTGTCCAAGTGAGTTCTGGACCTCTCTCCAGGTGTTGTCTAGAGTAGACCCTTACTCCAGGCCCCTGAATTGCATGAAAATAATGCGTACGAGAGAAATGCAAAATTCGAAGCCGAGTGTTGCATTTGCAAAATATAATTTTACTACTGGTCATCATGTTTTTGAAAGTTGCAGGGAGTACATTTTAGTACTAACTTTTCTTGGGTTCAAGAAATTTCTTCCGCGGACAGGACAGGGACTTTTTTTTTTCTTCTTTTGGGCCGCATTGAAGACCACAAGTCTAGGAAACTTCAAGCCAATATCAGTTCATGATCCGTTTGAAACGTACTTCAAGGGTGCACTACAGTACAGTAATTCCAAATTCGGGACTGATATTATTCGACCGGAATGCAGTGTTGACGCTTTATCGAGTGCAATTTCAAGTTTTTCGCAATTTTTGAAATTGATTACAGGGTGGAACGCTCGTCGGACCAAGTAATCAAGCCGGTGAATCTCGGTGCGTTGACCAAGTGGGTCGGGCACGTGCCCAAGGAAGTGGAAGCTGAGCTGGGGGAAATTGCACCCATGATGAAAGTGTTTGGGTACGATCCCAGCGACCCGAACCCCAAGTACGGGGAGCCGGATCCCGACGTGGCCAAGGCGTCTTAATTGAGGGAACCCATTTTTGTCATCCTACCTCGATCCTGAGTGTGTACATTGCAGAAATGGAACAAAAGAAGAAGAAGAAACAAAAAATGACAAGAACAGATTAATTTCAAAAGAAGCGTGTTTCCCATGCGGCTGTGGTTCATTTTAGGAGAGCAAACCTCGGACGAATCGTTTTTTTTTTGTGGCAAAGTTGAGTCTCGGTTTTTTTTTTCTTGTTGATTTTTTTCGTCTTCGTTTTGATTCGTTTTGTTCAGCTTTCGATTCAACGGCAGCAGAGACAAACAGTATGAGTTCAGCTCTTTATTATCGGTGTCGTTCTACTTTTCCGAGTATCGCTGCCAGTTTTGTTCATGGTTCAATACGCTGGTACGTGAGTCTCGTGTTGGAATNCACATTCGCCCATGCTTTCGAGCTTCTCGTCGCCGGATTTGTGAACAAGTGACCGTTTGAAATGCAGATGCGCCTTTCAATCGAAAAAATTCGGCTTGGAAATCACTGAGATTGCAAAAATTACGTAAAGGGAAAATAAATTGTATTCAGTGAAATCCAACACGGCTGATGTGGAAAATGATAATTTATTTCTACCTCTGTACATTCTTGGAGGTGAGAAGGTAGACATGAAAACCATCGATGACTTCCCAACAAGAATCTACCGAGATGTGTAAAAGCTGGGAAGTAAATTTATTCTCCAATGGAATTCAATTGATTTGTTTCATGATTATTTTTTTCACTTTTTATTTGTAGATTACGGTTGCTGTCTCATTTGGAATGATGTGGAACACCATTTGTAATTGAATAAAGAAAACTTTGGAGGTTACTCCACTCACTCAAGAATGCATAGTTCAAATTATTTATGACTGTCAGAATTTGAGACTAAACTGTGGAGTAAAAAAAAAATGTGAAGTTGAACTGCAATTATAATTCAGAGGGACCAAGGAAAAGAATTTTCTTAATTAATTTTTTACCTGAGGTTGAGGAAACCAGCCTTTTTGCAAGGGGAAAAATTGAGATTCACATTTCAATAGAGGAAAGTGCAATTGGTGATCCTCTGGGCCCTGATCCACTGAATAAATTAATTTATAGGGTGCTGCAGGTAAACTTTGAAACAAAAGTAAATTAGCCAGATTGGTCCAGTGGTCCCTCTTAACTTTTGAAATTAAGCATCAAATTATAGTTTTATTGCTTTTCTATTTCCTGGCTCCCCAGAATAGCTAGGGTCCCAAAAGCCTCCAGAAATTGGAGTGGGAGAGGTTTGTGTGAGAACTCATCAAGTTATGGAGGTTCATCCCAGGTAATGTTGCTTCAAAGAGAACTCAGACAAGGACAAATAAAGAGTTATCAGAGATTTTTGACTTGGAAAGATTTGAGTTTTGAGGGCCCAACTGCTGCACTTTGATGTTTGTGGATTTCCTTTCAGAAATTTCCTGAGGCTATTAAACATGTGATTGAGGCTATTGGAGCAGAAGACTGAATCTATAGCAATGATAAAATTCTTCTTTCAACGAGCAGCAATTTTATGAATGTTCAATGTGAATTATTTGTGCCTTTTCTCTTGATTATTCTCAAACCATAATTGCCAGGGAAGACTGCACAAAGATGGTTGTATTCTGCTATACAATCATTATTTTTTTCCTTGTCAAAAACTCCTGTAAGAATGTTGACAAATGAATGTTGTCACAGGAAAAAAATAGTCAAAACAACAAACTAATTTTTGAAGTCACTGTTGATGTTTCTTGTGAGTCCATCAATAACTTGGTAACCTTGGCAATTCTGTGGCATGCATGGAGCAATGCAAACCCAAATCAGGATTTGCACAGCAATGTTTGTTCCTGAAAGGTTTTATAGTTATACAACTACAGACTGCTTGAGTATTTCCACACTTGGAGCAAAAGATTTGTGAAGCACCAGCCCATAATGCATGGTTACATTTGAGTGCTATAGGTATGCAGTATATAAAATCTTTTTAGAACAAATCTTAATTGAAATGGTATAAGTGTACATTATATCAAATTCATTCAGAAGAAATGTTTTTTTAGACCCACCAATAACCACGAACATGTTATTCAAGTGTATTTGTAGCATTATGTTTTTAAACAGAGCCTTTTTCCTGGTCCCAAATGGCTTATTTGTTACAACATGGTTTTTACTGTATGGGGGCCATGATAAGGGTGGATAGTCTAACACTTGCTGGAAGTATACATGCAGAGTTTGAGTTGTGTTTGAAGCCAGCAGAGTATACACTCTATAAGTGGATGGAGAATGATGGAGATGAAAATCATCCAGGGTGAACGGAGAAAGCATGCATCAATTCAAGATTGTAAAAAAAAAAACTTGAAATGACCAGCATCATTAGCTGTAATTTTTGAAGTTTCAGATGCAGGGAGAGTTTCACTTTATCAAAACTATCTCTTACTAGATTAAAATTGGGTAAACATGGTATCCAATAACCCATCAGAAAACAATTATGCATATTCTGGACAGGCATAAACAAAAAAAAAACTGGCATGAGACCACAGCCACCCCATATATTGAATGGTTGGCTGGATACCAGTGATTTTTTGGATAGAGGTCATTCTTTGGTATTAGCCTGCCATGTTGAAGCCAGGAGGCATTATACAGCACCCATTTAGCCCACCCATAAAATAGGGCTGTGCTGATACTGGTGTTTTTCAGCAGTGTTCAAAGGGGGAGGGGGGTGGGTTGGCAATTCACCAGTAACAGTCACACATACTGTATCCTATAATATGGGCATGACACCCTATCAAAATAGTATAGACAGTATTTTTTCTGGTGTGTGAGGCACTGAGGTGAAATTCAGAAAATGGTGAGGAGTCTTGTCAAATGCTAAAAAAGACTCAGTTTGTGTGCGCTTGCATTTTTTCAATTTTTTTGCATTATCTCTGGCATTTGCCTTTTACATACATGTGACCAAGAACAAATTTTGTTTTTGTTTTGTCATAGCTCATAGGTCATGATGGATTATGCCCAAATAAAACTGAAGTGTTGACAGAATGACGTTCTCGCCTCAAATTATTTGCTGACATTGTGTGCTCATATCCATTTTATCTTATTCATCTTGAATTCAGACTTCATTAATGAATTCAAAGCAAGTAAGGATGTGATTCAACAAACCATGTATTTCACAGCATGCAGCAGAAAATGAAGTGCAATATGTATGTGATTCAATCATTCAACAGGAGGTTTGACATTATGTTGTGATCCCATATAATGCAGTAACCACACAAATATAAGATGAAGAAGGGTACAACACCCCCCAAGGAATATGTACCATCCATTCAAAACAGAAAACATGAATGGCTTAAACACAGATCAAAAACTGAATACAAAAAAAAATGTCTGAGAACAGCTAGGTGCCTGCACATAGTCAAAGAACTGCATTTGAGAGGAATGCATCAGTACAGCATAGCAATTTTGAATGCACAGCACAAGAAAACATGACCCTAAACACTTGAAAAGGTACCAACACTGGAAAAACAGAAAACATGCTACACAAAGAGGGACCAGCAGCAAATGGTAAGCAGAGAACATGCATCAATCTGCCAAAGAGGGAAGAACATCATGGGAGAAAAATGGATAATTCCACAGCAGATAACATCAATGTAACTCAGAGAAAATACTTCAAACCTTGTACAATCACTGTGAAACCCTTTCAACATGCCCCAAACATATTATCAGGACCAGAAAAAAAAAGTTAAAACAGGTTCAAATCAGGTATGCCATCAATGCAATAAAGTAAACATGTTCACATCAGGTGTTACTTGCATGAATGCAACACAGAAAATTTGCTCTGAACATATATAGACCATGAAGTGGCCAACAGAAAACATGGATCAAACTTCATAGACCCCAGCACCCAGAAAACATACAGAAACCACACTCATCTCAACAGGTACCACAATAACTGAAACTCAGAAAACCTGGTTCAAACAGATACCACCAAACTTACAACACAGAAAGCATATCCAGAGCCTGCTGGTACCATATATATCAGTGTTCCCCAACCTAGTGGTCCATGGACCAGCGCCAGTCAGCAGAAGTTTTTTGCTGGTCCATGGGAAATTTCCTGTTGCATTATGCATGAACAAAATTAGCAGTGAAGTCTGTTGTAATTTTTTTTCTAAAATATAGGAAAGATGGTGGCTGTGGAAATCATCTGATGAAAAAATAAAAGTTGGGCTTCCTTCCTCCTAATTACAATTATGAAAAATTTCCAACAGCTGAAATGAATTATTTATATTTTTTCATTCTCAGAAACCTTTTCTCAAACTCCCTTTTTGTATTTTTTTGAAGACATTCCACTATATTTCCGCTTTTATTGGTTCATAATTTTTGAAAAAAGCATGAACCTCAAATGTCTGCCATGAAGTCCTCCAAGTTTCAAGTGAAAAATTTTCATGAAACTTTGCAGGTCCACAGAAAATTATTGGGAAATTTGCTGGTCTACGGGCCCAAGAAGGTTGGGGAACACTGCAGTTCATCATCAATATTCAACTCAGATAATGTGTTTCAAATGTAATGGGCCAGAAAATGAAAAGCATCAAGCATGCATCAAGATGCAAAAAAGATTTTTTTCATTATGTGAAAGGTTTTTTCCTGGTTGCAAAATTGATTTTTTCAACAAGATTCTCCTGTAAACTGCATTTAGTTGACATGAGAACCAAAAAAGTATGGGAGAAAACCTAACTTTCTCAAAGCATCTTCAGTATTAATCATACAAACATAGTACAGTATTATTAAACTGTTAATATCATGTATTGTATTTCTGAAATAATTTCTCTAAATACCCAGGAAAACCTAGCGCGAAAATGTGGGGCAGGTCCAAAAAGGACGCTGAAAGGACGCG